ATCCACAGGGTAAGGGGATAGGCTGAGGGCTCAACGAGATATCACCAACTCCAGCTTGGTCAAAATCTTGGTCAGCAGCTCCGGTCAACGCCTTGATCAACGCTGAGTCAACGCGGACAACTCTTGGTCAACGCTCAGTCAACCCCTTGGTCAACGCCTGGTCAACCCTCCGGTCAACCCCTGGTCAACCCTCTGGTCAACGCTCTGGTCAACGCCCGGTCGACCCTTCACCTCGGCTATGGCTGCCGGCACCTTCACCTTTGTCACCCTCGCTGCTTACTTCCCCTTCCTTCACTCTTCTTCTTCTTCACTTCCTCTATTATTTTTTTTTTTTTTTTGTTCACCCCCGGCTATGTCTGTCTTCTTCTCAAGTATCCCTCCTTCCACACTTCTCTTTCTCTCTCCTTCGGTCCCCCCTGATGATACTCCGCGGCTATGGCCGCTGTCTTCCTTCTCCACCGGACTACGCAACTCGCCTCACAGGTAAGTGAACCAATCTTGGACGCTCATCTCTCTCTCTCTCTCTCTCTCTCTCTCTCTCTCTCTCTCTCTCAACCTTGTTCTTCGTCGTGGTCCTCTTGATGCAGGTGCGCGGCGGCTTCTTCCACCCGAGGTCCGCTATGGCGGACTGCCTCCTTCGGTCACCACCTCAGCTATGGCGCATCGGCCCTGCACACGACGGCGCGCGTGGAACAGCGGGTACCTGCTCCGATACCAGTGCAATCAGACTCAACTTATTCACACTTTTCATGCACGTGAACAGCAAAGCAACGAACTGGCGCCATGCGCCCACACAGAACTCAGAGATATGGCTCCCAAGTAACAGTTCGCGTCCACTGGCTATGGCGACTGTGCGCCTCAAACAACTCACTGTTCACACTCTGGATCACCCTGGATATCCCACACRYGACACTCAACACACACACRCAGTACATACACACTTYCCCTAAGCTACAGCTATGKCGGCTATGGCCGCCGCTACCCTACTGCTATGGCTACGGTATGTCACTCTCGCCCACTTCGTCTTCGGGCCCTCTGCAGACCTCCTCGCACAAGCTGCTGAGGCAGCGCTTCCGCATGGCTTCCGCAGGAATGAATGAATGGTTGGGCGCAGCCTCTTGATTTATACTTCTGTGCTGCGTTGGTCTGCCCTGTACACCTGGCCCATAGTGCACACAGTCCCAGACGGTACTTGCTGGACTGGACCGGACTGGGTGGACTGGGACTGCTGACTGTACTATGTGGACTACCACCACTAGACCACTTGCCTCTGCTGAACGCAGGCTCACTCCGAAAGGCCACTTCTAGAAACCTCTAACTTGGCCTTTCGGTACTGTAGCAGCTACGACCTTGCCCTTTCAGGTAAGTAGCAGCTACGACCTTGACCCTTCAGGCAGTCTACAGCTACGACCTCTAACTGTCTAGACTCCTACCCTACAGGTCTACAGTTCGAATTCCCTCTACCCTGTGACCTACAGAAAACTACCTACCACTGGCGGTACTACAGGTACCAGGTTCAAATCTACGGATTGACACCGGTACTGTACACAGGTAAGATGGGGAACTAGGGATCGAGCCCTGGGATCTGCATCAGCTACTGCGAACTGGTGAATACCGTTTCAGAGGGCAGTGGTTGGTGCCCACCTCAGGGTATCAGTTGTCGGGCAGTCGTTGATGCTTAACCACAGCCGGGGTTAAGGTGGATTATTTTTATTTTTATTTTTTATTTTTTTAAACGCAGCTTATATTCTAAAAGTAAATGAATGAGGCCGGGAATCCCTCAACATCTCAACCCGGTAGTGAAGCTTGTGCTGGAAACCGGGTTCAGCGTCCCCTGGTCTGCAACTAGAAAGAAAGTGAGCAACTGGAGCAAAACTTTTAGGACTTGGAATAGGGGGAGCAAAACAGCCAAGGACTACTGATAAATTCATATCCCGGATCTCCTGCTAATCTCTCTGGGAGCCTTACCCAGCTTCGCTTCAAGATCTTACAGAAAGGAGACCAAGCACGGATCTGTAAACTCAAGGAAGCCTGAACCGCCAAGACGGGTTTCCCACCACGCACCCTTGGATCTTCAGAGACAGTATCAATCAGCGGATCAAGATCACTGTGGATACAGTTCAAGTTTGCTTCCTTCCCTAATTATGCTAACTACAAGCAAGGAAGCGTTCCCACCACTGCCGGTAGCACTCACACTGCCTCCGTAGTGCCACTGCCCATACTACCCTGTCGGGTTATCGTGAGTAGATTCCAAAGGTTGTGTTTCACGAAAGCGTTTTCAACACTCAGAAATCAAAACACCATTATCGATATCTAATCCACAAGACCAAATCTACTACTTAAAGATCTAGGATCCAAGACAAAATCATGTGCCAGCTAGATCATCTCACCAGCGAAATCCCTCTTCTCCATCAGGGCTACTCTCTCATTATGGCTTTCCAAACACCCTGTAAAGAGCCCGAGCTGCCATGACGGGTTTCCCACCACGCTCCCTTGGATCTTCATGGCATATTTTGATCTCAATGGGAACAACTCAAGTTTGCTCTTCACCGGTTCTCGCTTTCCACCTGACCAGTAGCGTTCCCACCGCCCCTCGTTGCACTCACACTGCTCCAGGAGGCGCCGCTGCTAGTACCAAGAGTTTCTCCATGAGCCACTCTAAAACTCCTAAAACTGCATCCCTGTCTTGATCGTAGGCTGCAGCTATAAGCAGAGAAAAGCACCTTATCAGAAACCAAAAGAAAACCCGATTTTAAAGGATAGGGGATGAGAAGAGAAACAAAAAAATCATAAAGAAAAGGCAGACCCGATAACATCTCCTATAATTAAAACACTCTTGACGGACATGCTCACTGCTTACCTCAGACAAGTAGGCTGCCACTATATAGGGAATAAGAGAGCAAGAGAAATACTACTACAGTGAATTTATCCCAAAGGCATGGACAGGGCGAAGTAAAGAGCTGACAAATTGAAATATCCCCTAATGTCACAATATGCAGGAAGAGAGGAGCGGAAATGCGTAGGACGAGAGCAGCAGGTCCAATTTCGACCTGTGAAAAAATCAATAAATCTATCCTACGGGTAGGGGTAGATAAAGAGCACCGTATTTCAAATTTGAAATGTGTAGGACGAGAGCAGCAGGTCCAATTTCGACATGTGAAAAATCCATAAATCTATCCCACGGGTCGGGATAGATAAAGAGCATGGCATTTCAAATTTCCCACATTCATGAATGCGAACTAAAGTCTATCCCAAAGGCATGGACAAGGCCAAGTAAAGAGCAGACGAATTTAAAGTATCCCGAGGTGTCATTATATGCAGGAAGAGAGGTGCAGAAATATCCCAGAAGAGAGCAATAGGTCCCATTTCGACCTCTCTCTCTCTCTCTCTCTCTCTCTCTCTCTCTCTCTCTCTCTCTCTCTCTCTCTCTCTCTCTCTCTCTGTTACATGCTGCACATGCACACACGGGCCATTTTGCAGGCCCGACATCGTTCAGGCCAAAAACCTGAATTTCGGGCTTTAAGCCTGATATCCAAGGCTTACAGGCCCCGCCGACGGTTCAGCCTGACAGCCCGAGAAAGGACCTACAGGCTCCTGCCTCTTTCCCTACAGCGAAACTTCCAGGCTCTTGCCTGGAAGCTTCCTTCTGACAGGGCCTACAGGCCCCAGCCT